AAATAAACCTATCCTACTAAGTTAACTTGTTCATTTTTTCACTATTTAATGGACAAATGATAAATAATAGAAGCGTTTTCAGCACCAAATCTACGGGTGTGCTACCATTTCTTCACCGAAATTAGGTAGTAAACTTCAGTACAGTGACTGGTTGTAGGGAACAGATCGTCATTTGGTCTGTTGCTTGTCATGGTATTGTTTCCAGTGCATGTCTTGCTGTTGGTGTTTTCATGAGTATTTCACTTAGAAATCTCTTTTCTCCAAATCTATGTATTGACCTTGAAGCCAATAAGCATGCTGTGTAGGTCTTAAGTATTTAGTACAGCAAAATAGCATATCAAGTAGAAAAGTATAACCAAATGTAACCTCGTTGTGTTACGAATGTAAGGACAACACATGTTATGATTAAAAACATCAACAAGGGACTTTCAGATGTTACAGTAGGAAACAACATTAGATTTACCATTTTTCAAAACAGCGTTAGCACGTCTGGTTATCGACATCAATGTATCGACATTACTATCCCATCTTAGCGCAAGCATCAGCATTTTTGCTCTTCCAATGAACTTGATAATTTGGTACCACCTTAGATGCACTCACGACATTTGAAGAACAATTCTTTCTACTTCTGTTCAGTAAACACGAGGTGTTATTTTATTTCTTTATTTACGTACAAGCTGACGTCTCGGCGGATTTCGCCTTCGTCAGAGCTTGGAAGGGTCAAGTTGGCTGTAGTCTACCTAGCCAAACACCTCCATAACCGAACAGAGAAAATGCTAAACCAAAATTTCAATCACATTGAACACAGAGTCTTTGCACACTTACCGCTTTCTATGAGTCTTCCGCTAAATATGTCACGTGGAGACCAACGTGGAATTATTCAATCAACGCCGAGGTTAATAGAAAGTCGGACGTGGGAGTTATTTGAAGAACATTTCCTCTTTTTGGTAGCAATGCTCAGAGGAGAGGTCTTACTTTGGTGAGGAGAGTAAGGTAAAACAACTCTTGCATACCAATTGTTTGTCCACCACCGGTCTCCTTTGGCTGAGCAATTTGTTTATCACTTGATAGCAACATTCTCTGCATGACTGCTATTCAACCTTCACCATTTCATGCATATATTGGCATGTTTGATACAGCCTAACTTGGTACATATCTCAAAGATCACAGCATTGCATCTACGTTATCAACATTTAGTACGTAACCAAGGCTTTAAAAATTGTTCTTGCTGACACCGCTTCATTTACGGTGTAGTCAACTACTTTCTTATCTGAGACCATCACATCGCAAAGGTTAATCAAAAAGAGTTCTCCAATAGGACACTAATTAAACGTTTGTATTCATACCATACTTTTTTCTTACCTCTTTTGTTACCAATTTCTACACATAGTGTGAACCAGATTTCCCTTTCCTCCATCAAATACAACTTCGTATTCCATCTCGCCCTCATTATGGTTAATGAGCAGAACGCGGTGCTGCAGTGGAACCACATCCATGTACTTCGTTACTATTGATCAATGGTTGGTTAAAGCTTCTGCATAACTCTCTATGCATAGTGATAAATTCACACCATTATTTATTGTAGACTTGTTGAAAACACAGAAACTCCTGTGATGTAAGGAAGGAGATTGAGGAGCATGGTCTAGTTGATGCTGTCAGGCGGACGTTTTTGGTGGACTCTCTACAATGTGAACTTCGATCTTCGGTAATTTATGTATTCATGCACAATACAGGAACAAAATCCCATCGATAAATGTGGAGACAGTACAGAGAAATGGAGAATGGATTGTCTAATACTTTGACGGCGACGGATAAGGAGAACGTTGCAGTGAAATGAATGAGGAAACACGTCAAGGAACAAAACGCGCACACAGAGATTATGATCAATGCGCAATATTTCGAACTGACAGATCTCGAATATCCTGAATTAGTTGGTCAGGGAATTACTAAGTTCATAGAAAAGTAGAGAGTGGAAACTTATTTCTGTTGCATAAAGAATCATCCATATGAAACAGCGTAGTCTCTGTAATATAATATCTCTCCATACTGAACTAGACGAGGTATGTTTGTTGGAAACAAGCCCAAACCTTCCCATGGAGCTCCAACTTACATCACTACAGGTATTTGGTCAATTATATGTGGAACATGCAATTTGCATCTATGGATGCACAGCCAAACGCAGCAGAAACGAAGCGACTGACTGTGGACCGTGTTCAATTCTCATCTGTCATATGTAAACGTGTCATGTAGGTTTGCGACTAGCCTACCACATATTTTGTCAGTCTCACTTTTCCACTATGATAGCAGTGGAGTTCACGTTTTGTTGTATTATGTCAGATGTGTTGTTGTTGTTGTTGTTGTTTCCCACAATATCACGTTTAGAAAAAAGGATTGCCGAGGAAATAAAAACCTTGACCGTAAAGTTTATTGAACTTCTCCATGAACACTTTTCTCAGAGAAAATTCACTCGGGATAACATCGCAATCACGACAAAAATGTCCGCTATCTCTATTAAGCATTTTAATTCTAAGCAATGCTTTAAAAGCTGCAGTTTTAAAAGGTCCTAGGTGAAAAGTACTATTTTGGTTCTCACTTCTAGTTCCAACGTTAAGAGGTACTGCTCCCCACGACATGTTCACTTTAAAACACTTCTCTGGCCAACATCGCTCCAGATCCTGATTCTGGCCGATGGTCTTCAAGTTAGCCTATTGAGGCGGTCCCTCAGTTTAGGAAATTTGCTAAAGTTCCTATGAATTCCGGTCAAGTTTTCACTGCTCAACACCAACGCTGTGGGGCGGGATCTCCGCTATTCCGTTGCCCTCACACATTTCGGCAGTTATGCACCAGGCAATCGCGCTTCGCAATCTGCTTCTAGTATTTCTCACTTTCATTTCTGGTACGTTATCATTCTCCATAGTAATATAAGTGATTCTCTCCACAAGAAATCCTGAAGAAAAACGTTTAAAAAACGACGAGAACAACGTAGGAACTATGACAGAACATAAATAAATCAGTTGATTTACTTAACTCTAACAAACTGTAAAAATTACAGTCCTCTCTCTCAGGAGCAAGAACTCACAGGCTATTCACACTCGGCAATTCAACCTGCTCCAAAAAAATCTACATCTTTCTATTTGCTACCTAATTGTATTTTTAGCACCTCAAACATTTCGTTGACATCTGCAAATGAAGAAACGAGAATTCCACCACTAACATAGAACTTCAGATATTAACATGCAGGATAATAAAAAGTGCCCAACAGATTACTAATTATTTCCTTCTATCGATACAATGGCATGTATTAGTATAGCATCCATCTCAATGACAAGAGTTCTACAATGCGATGAGTTCTACATTTGTTAAAAATCCGAGTTGCATGTTTGTCTTCCTCATTCGTCGAAAGGAAGCATCAATGCCGCTTTAAGAAAATGATTGTTGAATTCTTTATAGTAATCTGTACATATCAGACCGAAATTTATGGAGTTCTGCGAAGGATATGAACGTAGGAGCGCTCGTAAAATTTTTTAATAGTCCCTTACTGCTACTATGCTTAAACTTAAGGCGAGCCACTTTTCTCTACTATATCGCAGCCTATGATATGGACGTTAGTGACCTCAGAAAGACACTAAACGACGTAACACACGTGGACCAATACGAAATTATGGCTTTGTGGTATCCTATTTAATTACAATAAGTTGGGAAATTCGATTAGAAAATGTAACCATTTTGTGAAAACACCAAGAATAAAGCATGTTTTAGCTCGAGCTTTTGGTTGGGCACAAAAATTTGTCACGTGTGTAGAGCTTTGATAAAAATCCTGGAGAAGTAATGAAAGCAGCCTTCTTGGAGAGTTTCTACTTATCACTATGCTACACATATTTTCTCAAAAACAGCGACAAATCCTACCAAAACTGGAGAAAAAGTCGTATGATTCGTCTAGAGATTTCACAAACATAGTCGCTTTACAGAGTACTAATTGTATGCTGGGAATAGCTTTCAGACGGCTAAATTCAAAATAAGAATTCATGAAAATTGAAAAAATTCAAAAATTCAAAATTTCATTGAATTCACATTCAATGAAACTCCGTCAATAATTCCTAAATCTCACGCACTCTACCTGCCACAATAAGTGGTCGTCATTGCACTTAAGGCGGTTGAAGTCCAGCTTAATTGTAAATCATTCTTGCCTCGTAAACTCCGCACTGTTCGGTGGGAAAAGTGTATAAGTTATGAAACTCTTACTATATTTCCGATTTATCGATCATACTGGATTGTTACAGAAGCCAGACCTTTAATAAAATGCGTGTAATGGCGACATGATTCGCACGAAAATAAGACCTGTCGAGTTACTTTTACGTATTTTGGAATATATAAGCAAAATAAATATAAAAAATAAATGCAAATATCAAATATATATATTATATACTGGTGCAGTGGTCGGAGACGCCCTTCGACACACACACACACACACGGGATCGATCCCCGCGGTCGTGGCTCACCAAGCCTTCCATCCCTCCGGGGTTAGAAAATTGGTACCAGACTTGTCTGGCAGGATAGCAGCATTGGCTCGATAGATACATCGGTAGGCCACCGTAAGTCATTCTAAAGGCCAGGTATGCATTCACCTCCGAACGATGCTTAATGACTCAGGGATTGATCAACCCCAAGAGCTTTGTTCTTTTTACTTTATCCTTTATTCTGGAATAACAGCATGAACATTACTTTCACATAATTTCCATGAAAGTGAGGCTGTCACCACTTATGTATTTAGTGTTAGCGCATACGTCATTGGAGGATGCAAACCAAGATATCGACTTCGTCTACACGGATCCCTGGCAAGATATTGTAAGCGTTTACTGTATTAGTTTATTCACTGAATGCGTTCTTCCAACTGTTATGTTGAATTGGGCATTTGCTTGACCCGGAATTTGTTTCGGTTATGTCTAGTTCTTAGATCATCGACCTAATACGTTTAGAACGTTCCTGTTCTAAACGGCTGAATGTCGAGCAGCCTTCTATGGAGCTCTAGAAAGAAGCAATTCACCGTTAAAATTTTGTGATGAAGTATTCAAGTTAAACAACCATATCAGTAGCAATAACAGGACTCCAAAACAGCAATTTCCTGCCAATCTTAACTTTTGCAAAAGCACTTTCAAATTAAGAATGATTTCTTGGAAGAAAAAAAAACTAGAAAATTACAAACGGTGGATGCAAAGCGTCCTATGCAAATACGATATGATTATGTTTAAGCCTAGCTTCCAAAGACCATACCAGAAACGATGGGCGAACCAAGTGCGATTTGGCAAGCGGGCGAACAATTGGGCATCATCGGTGCGATTCGGACGATAAGTTCCAAAGCACATTGCTTTTCACTACCAACAGCTGATCATTCATGTATAGTAACATTACATGTTCCATACAACAAATCTATTCTTGCTCCGATATCTTCTAGGTATTCACTTTTCTCTCTCCCAAGTCTCACAATCACCTATATCCAATGTTTCAATTGTTTGCCAACGGAATAAACCACTCTGCAGTATATGCAGCACAACATAATTTAATATTATGCGAAATTGTGCTAACGGTTCTACACTTGTATGGATTTATGGCTAGCATCAGGTGAAACGAATCTTCGATTCGGAATCAGAACACGCTTTCAAGTGTTGAACTCCAACATATCCGCTCAAATTGAAGCTGACGATAAGGATGCATAGTTCTGATGAAAAACATAATAATAGTTCCTCTCAGTAGTAAGATGTGGGGTGATAATGGCACATATGTTAGCACATGAACTTAGTTTACAGAGTTGCCATAAGAAAGAACGATCACATGAAATACCAGACCAGCGTATATTTCATCCTTTTCGAGATAACATAACAGAAGAAAACTGTATATGATCATTGAGGACGTAAACACAATAACGTCAAAGGAAAGAGTGACCCGATGAGAAGCTTTGGTACTGACCGCCAAAGGAACATTATTAAAGTGAGCACAATGCAACGGCAACATTCATCACCACAAAAAAAAACTTATTGTGCAAATAAAATTATGAGTGTCGTAGTAGCACCAGTATTAGAAAGGCTGGAAAGTATTCGGTGAATATGAGAAAAACTTTGAAATGATGAACACAACCAGAAGATGGCAAGATATCAGACATTGAGGAGGTTAACAAAATACTTCTCGATATTGAACATGACCATACTCGGAAGAAACATGAATGTAAACGGCCAATTGCTACCACTTGGTTTAAAGTGAATTCTAAGGAAATAAGCATCAAAATTAGCGACTGATGAGCTGCAGTATTTGACGGAAAGTAACTTCGAACTGTGGAATTATATGTGATTCAGCTAAATCGGGATTAGTTGATGTATCCGATGCGCAATTCCTCAACTGACGCACGAAGACTTCAAGCCGATTCAACAGTTCACTAAAAAATAATATCAGGTTAAGAAGACGAACGCTAGGTCAGGAAATAGACTAACCGATATCTAAATTTGCTATGCGGTGTAATCTGCTCAGCATATATGGCACACGTAGAGTGGAACTGTTGCATAACATCACTCAAACGTATCAACATTGCTAGGCGGGAATCACATCGAGACGATTGAGTAATGCGCCCCACTCTATCATTGCGCAAATCTTGCAAACAAACTTCTAGTGTCCGATAGAGAGAAAGTAGTGCTTCCTAAATGCTATGAAATTCACAGAAGAAATCATAATAAAAGAGATTTGCAGAACTATTGCACTTTTATCCCGAGTTATGCACTAACCTTACTGACGCTGTGTTGATCACAGTTTGATGCCGACGGAGCAACTAGTTCATCAGTAGTGTTTGAAACCGATTCATTTGGATTCGGTTTCGACTCCAAAAGCGAGAATCGTTTGTTGGTACCACTAGTTGCTAAGCCTGCGCGGACTGCCACACCACCTTAATTACTGACATAAGACGTATCACTAATTCTCAAAACGGGACAGCTTTATTTCTCACTAAAAGTAACCAAACAAAAATGGAGGTTCCAAAAGTAGAATGAGCTTATGGCTCTAAATAAAACAACACAACATTAAACCAACATAATTAATCATTATGATTCATTGTGTCCAATGATTTACTAACTAATGGATGCTGAAAGTTGCACAAAATGTGCCCAAGGTACTTCTTAACCTCCAAATGGAACAAGCACCACCAGACTATCGAAATTTAGAAAAATTGTCTAAAAGAGACCTCTATTAAAGTTCTATCGATATGTGCTAGAAAAAAAATATAAGCATGACTCAAACAGTGTGAAGAAAGAAGAGGAATGTGTCATATTTTGACGAGGTCGCTAGCATCTACCGATCACCATTAATCAACTTGCGAAAACACATAGCTTAGATTACGTGTATACGCATAATGAAGGCCGAATTGATATGCGCCAGTGAATAATCTTCCGCTCCATCCGGATTACAACCACATCCCACGTCCAATTAATTAACGTTGAGGCCGACAGACGTTATTTATGTACGAACAGAAAGTATGGTTAACTTTAACCAAACCCGTAGCACAGTTGTCGCATGACGTACACCTATACATTAGAAAAATAAGTAGACATACAATGATATGTCACTACGTACTTTTCGTAGGGAGAGCCGCTAGTTTCTCAAATTTCGTAGTAATATCCCTCAGAGACTGAGCTCGAACCATACCCGAGTCACGTTCTTCGTTGGCAAAAGAGATGTGGTCGTTAGAAGTTAGTTCCCAGATCTGCAAGAAACCCCTTAGCAAACAAAGTAACAAATGTACATTTAGCTATACCTAGAACGAATAAAAATGAACATTAGAGCTATGAATGGCTAAAAGTACACTTTTAAATAACCTTTGGTCTCTGAAGAGTACTAAATGCACGAGGTCCATCGGACTCTAATCCTCTACTATCTACGTGTTTCATATTCACAGCTAACGTAGAAGCAGATGAATCTGAATCGTCAGAAGATCCTTGAACGGAAAATGGACGATGGTGCTGCAGAGGAGCCACCTTAAAGAAGTTGATGTTAGCGACAGAACGATCTCCTACAATCACTACATCCGGAAATGCATTACGTTGAACTAGATTCGCACTAATAGTTTCATAAATCAGGATTCGGAAAAATGTTCAAAACTGGAACTTATCTAGTACACTTCTTAAGCATACAACGAAATTATTTCTCTCACATTTAACTTACCTTTTGCGTAATAAGTTGTCGAACTCGGGCTACTTCTGGAACTGAGGCCGACACTGGTGAAGCGGCCTCACCAGCTACTGTTACTTTTTCATCTGGTTTGCTAACATGGCGTAGCGTCCGGATCCTTGCCTTCAACTCACCCTCTGCCAACTCGTCAGGTTTGCCATCATGCTTAATTTAAGTGTTGGTAGTCAATCCTCTGTATTTCACTAGCACAAAAAAAGGATCACAAAAGGAATACGACCATGAAAAGAATGTTTTTGATAAAATAGGCTCTTATTTTTTGGAGAGTACACGTGAGCAATTTATGGAGCAACCCGGTTTGTAAACCCCATTTAATAACGATTTGCAATAAGAGGACAGTTTACAGATAACATAAGGTTGAAAATGCAGCTAAACTTCAAAACCCACGGCACCAGAAGACAGTAGTGTGGGCTCGATCGAAGGACAACAGTATTGAAAAAGGCAAGAAACACCTATTAACTTGCCTTTTCCCCTACAGATTTGACTGCTGCTGGTGGCACTATAAAAGAACCAGAGCGAGTAGGAGGATCGGGAGTCGGTCGGCTAACCACTTTACGCAAATTATGTGAAATCGGCCGATCAATCTGACTACTAGACGAAGCATTTTCTGTAGAAATTGGGAAAACCGAAGACGTCTTTTTTAGACGAGATTTCAGCTGCACGAGAACCTATAACAAAAACAAGAAAATAATGGATACTTTCATAAAAGAGGACTGACAACAAACCGGGCAGCTTCCATCAACTGAATTTGGAACAGAGAGCTCATCAAGAGAGTCGTCAGAAAGAGCATTGTTCATAGCCGCTTCAGTGTCTCCGACGCCTGATGAGTCTAGAAAACAAGAAAATTTAATTACACTCAGAATAAATAAAACCATGTTCTCACCAGGTCTATCTCTTTTCATTGACTCTAGATAAGCGTCTATGCGGTCATTTTTTGGCAAGGTGCCGAAGCGACTGATAACCTTACGAAGATTCTTTTCTGCGAGTGGTGATATCAACACTTCGTCTGAACATAAGTGCTTGATAAATTTCACAGAAAATTTTCAAACGAACGACAACCATTCGCTGATCCCTTATCAACAAATTGCGTTGCATTGCTAAGCGCTGTCTTGAGTAACTTCGGCTTAGAAGATTGCGGTGGAGTAGGAAGCGGAAGATGACGTGGTACATGTCGAACTTGATCCGAGGTAGAATCACGAAATGATGAGAACTGAAAGAACATCGCTAGAAAAACAATTTCACAACTATATGCGAAAATCTTAACCCTTCGTTTTTTCTTTTCAATGGCAGGGTATGTTGCGAAATATAACTCGTATATAATGCTGAGATATTTGCAAAACTCCGGACCGCAGGTGTGTGCGGTGGGGAACGAACGCGCTATTGTCTTTTCCGGGGAGTAGCGCACTTCACCACCACACCATCCGGGTCCTTCGTTTTGCCTGTCTCTCAGCTAGTTCTATTCATCTTTTGTCATCAGCAATCACCCGTCAACGGGATTGATCTGGCGAGCCCAAATCGGCATTGAACCCAGTTAAGCTGAGGCTTAGTTATAATCGCAATCTTAACCCTTTTATTTCTTTTTTTATTTATTTCAATATTTCGCAACATACCCTGCCATTGAAAAGAAAAAGGCAGTAAATAGAAGGGTTAAGATTGCGATTATAACTAAGCCTCAGCTTAACTGGGCTCAATACCGACTTGGGCTCACCAGATCAATCCCGTTGACGGGTGATTGCTGATGGCAAAAGATCAATAGAACTAGCTGAGAGACAGGCAAAACGAAGGACCCGGATGGTGCGGTGGTGAACGCGTTACTCCCCGGAAAGGACAATAGCGCGCGTTCGTTCCCCACCGCATACACCAGCGGTCCGGAGTTTTGCAAATATCTCAGCATTATATACGAGTTATATACGCGGAAAGTTATATATGGATACATTGGGAAGCACGTTATATTCAAAAATAGAACAAAAATTCAAAGTTGGTTTACCGTAGGCTGAGTTAACTCCTGCTGTGAGGTTTCATGATGCGGCAAGCGTACAGAAGGAGGTGGAAACAATTCAGAATTTCTCTGTAAACTTCCCGGGCCATTAAAAGAACGTCGGTTGTTGGAATCTTCAAATCGTGCTTGTTTAGTTAAAACAACATCACTACGACGCGAACGTCGCTGAGAGGTAAGACGAGATTTTTCAAGCTGACGATCGACCTGAAATCGTCGTATTAAGTCAATAAAGTCGAAAATAAATCAAATTGGTGCTCAAAAATCTGTAGTAACCTCCTCATCAATACTCGAATGTGGAAATAACGATTCAAGGCTAGCATGAATGTCTCGAAATCTGGGCCGATCGCTAGGAGACCAAATCCAACTGAAAATAATATGGCCAAAATAAACAATACGCGAATATTAAGTTCCTTATGACCCAAAGCACTCACCATTGCAGCATAAGGCGGTACACAGTAGGAGGACAACCAGGTGGCGAATCCATGCGAAAACCCTTCTCTAGTAACGAGTATACATTGGACAATTCAACCCCAGGATATGGTGCCATTCCATACGTTGCGATTTCCCATAGTAAAACACCAAATGCCCACACCTGCGCAAATTCCTTTACAGTTAACACTTATCAACGTTACAAATTCACCAATTTACGATTGAAAGCGAACCCACAAAAAAGTTACTCAAGACTCACATCACTCTTCGTACTAAATGTATTGAAAGCTAATCCTTCGGGGGCTGTCCATTTAATTGGAAACTTAGCACCAGCATGCGCCGTGTATGTGTCTTCTCTCATGAAACGAGCTAAACCAAAATCAGCCACTTTGACTATGTTTTCGCTACCAACAAGGCAATTCCTTGCAGCAAGATCCCTGAAAGAATTACGTCGTTTATTATACTGCTACACAAATGAATTCGTTAATGAACACATTATAATTCGCCTGTGAATAAAATTCCTAGACTCCAAATATGCCATAGCGGATGCAATTTGAGTTGCCATATACATCAACACCGTCGGCGGAAGCTTTGAACGGTCCGATTTTCTATAAACACTTCTATCAACACAATTAATACTATCCCAACGGTTTACTGCCACATCGTAGCTGGGAGCTATTCTTGGGTGTCGGGTTGCGATGTACAGTGGTGGGATATATCTACCCAGCATGGTCTCCCAAAACAAGAAGGAATCCAGTGTTTCCACCACGAAGTCCCGTTAAGAGTAAACCAATACCAGAATACACCACCGTACTGGTATCAAACTAGTCGCATGGTGGCAAATTTACCTCTGAACCACAAGGGTGGCGACTGCCTGTGGTGGTGATGACGTGAGGCAGACTTTAGCTTTGCTGTCCTCGGGACTCCATGGAACCACAATGGCTAAACCAGGAAACCTCCGAAGGATGGAGAGTATGCTGGAGCCCGCACAACCAGTGAAGATGGATAATCCAGGTATCCAAATAAGTATAAATTAATACTACTAAAGAAAGGACAAAACAAACCTTAGATATTCGAGTAGGTTACCGTTCGACATGTATTCCGTAATAATATAAAATGGAGCCTCCCGTGTACATACTCCTAGTAACTGCACAAGATTCTTGTGATGAAGGTCTTTCATTATAGCAGCCTCGGCTAAAAAGTCGTGCAACGCCATTGCATCCTCCTGTGAAAAAAGCAGAGATGGTCGAAAGGCGATAAACAAATAGCAGATACACAAATTCGAAGTGATAGATACCTTAAGTGTTTTTACAGCAACCGTTCTCTCATGGCGTTTCCAATATCCTTCATATACGTCACCATACTGACCGCCACCTGTAATTTTTTTTCTCAGAATTACAAACTGATTTTCAAGCGCGCTCAATTCAAATGGCACAACGTAACTAGTAGAACACAGAATAAACCACTTTTGAGGTAATAAAAAACATCTCGGTATTGCTCAAACTCTGAGGGTTCCGCCATCCATTCGATTTCACTAAGCATCGTTTGGAGGTGACTAAAAGTATATCAGACCTTTACGATAACTCACAGTGGCCGACCGATGCAACAGGCCAGTGCTGCTGTCCTCCTAGACAAGTTTGGTACTAATTTGCCGACCCCGTAGGGATGTAAAGTATGTGGGCCTGGGACGCCGGGATCGATCTCATGTGTACTGCAGAAAATCTCCGACCACTGCGCCACATGCGCCCTTTTTAGGTAATAAGAGATTAAATTGCTAACATGCGCTACATAGTAGAAAACAGCTAACATACGCTACATGATAAAGAATTAACTTAAATAAGTAGCACCTTCAAAAGTATACACGAAGGTAGTAATAAATCACCTTGAACAGCGGGACTTTTACAGCATCGCCAACTACAAATTAACAGTAGATGATTTCGATACATATTTTTCTTTCCTTATGTAATTTTCTTCCTTACTCTATCCTGTTTTTTGAATTGGAGTTCACCTGCCAATCTGTCACACATAGTACGATTAATACAAAAAAATAGGAGCCTTCAATGGGTCCTAATTTCATGTCACCACACTAAAATATGCAGTACATACCCATTTTGCTCAAAAAGGCTATCAAAAGAATGTTCACAAGCGCTGATGGTTGTTGCATATTATTCGTCATAAAATATCTTGCGCTTGCACCTCAGTTAGCCTTTTACATCAAGGAGTATGATGCACCATCCCTAATTCTGGATCGTTGACGTTGTCCAAAATTCCAAATCACTTACTAATTTATTTCACTTAAGCCACACTAGACCCTCCGTGGATACTCTGTCGATGGCATATTTTACAACTCTCACGATATTTTTACACTTTTATGTAGCTCACATTTTAAGGATGAAGTGTTAGATCGAAGAAGTGGATGACAACCTGGATGTTCTTTGTCAACTTCACTATATTCCGTATATTCTTGTAAACTCAGCCAGCGAGCCACTTCTATTGGTTAAACTCAGAATCTGAGCAGTTCATCATGTCGGTATTCCGAATCAACTATTATACACTAAATTATTAACAACCTCAAGTGAGCATATCAATAAATAAACACAACGCTCATCCAAGCCAAGGTTAAATGAGAGTCGATATTAAACATATTACTTTGTAACATGCCAACCACAGGCATGTGTATAGCGCAGTAGTTTGAGGTGCCCTGGAATACACAAGTGGTCTTTGATTCGATCTCGAGCTCCGAACTAACTATACCTTCTCTCTCCAGGGTCGCAAAATTGGTACCAGACCTATCTGGAATGACGGTAGCATTGACGTGATACATCGTCAAACCACCGGACGTCATTAAAAAACGCCAGATAGTTATTCATTCACCGTTAGTGAAACTAGATGAAGATGCCGCGTCCTTCAGCGATTTATCGATGCCAAAGCTCTATAATTTCATATGGCAGTTGATAATAATACACCAGCGGTTGGATGACTTGGCCTACCAAGTTTTCCATCCCTCCGGAGTCGGCAAATTGGTACCAGACTTGTCTGGGAGGATAGCAACACTGGCTCGATACAACGGTAGGCCACCGCCAGTCATTGTGAATGTCAGATATCCATTAAATCAGGTTCAGAGATGCTTAATGAAGTCGAATGAATGGCGCATCCCTCAGGGATTGATCAACGCCGACAGCTTTTCTCTTTCACTAAATTTGACACCTTTTTTCAAAACAACTCTTATGCCTCAATGTTAGCAGCACCTTAACGTGCAGTGTTTTACCAAATGTGAACGCGACAACCGCAATATCAGTTTTGCATTTGGCAAGGCCGGCGCTAACGATTGTAAGACATAACAAAAGTTCGTTTTTTAGCGATGGACGGGGCTTTGAAGATGATGAGGATTGGAAAAGATCAGAAGCCACAAACTATGATTATTTCAACAAAAAAATTCAAACAGTTTCATTTCAAACAGAAGCAGATCTACGGACCGCTGTCCGTCAGCGGAGTCAAAAAGAACTCGACAAATGCTACCGAAAAAACGTTCGACAACTAAGTCGTGGCCTACATTCGAAAAACTCATTGCTTGACGAACTTCAGGACTGCACTTTATTAGAATAAATTAAATTGTATTATGCTAAAAAGATCGGTCAGTATTTTCCTAAAAATCAACATATTTCTGAAAGCCTAAAATTCTTCAAAAATCTATAATCACCATTCCACCATGCAAAACAAGGCGGAAGGTTAGTGTCGTTACCAATCAACCACCCTTAACTATTCTGATAGCGATTTCTCTACAAAGAGCAAAAACGAGTAAATGAGAGTCTGGTTTATTCAGCTTGGAATGTCGCAAAATGACCAGGGGGCGAATAGCACAGTGCAGTGATATCCGTCATCACGAGCAAGGTGTCCGTTGGATTCCACTCCGGGCCAGTCAAGCCACTCATCCCTCCGGGGTCGGGAAATTGGTGCAGGACTTGTCCGGGAAAAAAACCACTCTCTTCAATCCCACTGGGAACACTCCACACCGGTTATCTCAGGAGTACAGGGAGAATTGCTCGACCAGCATTTTACGACATCCAAAATGAAATGAAAATCCTCAAGCAGGAACTGAAGCCACACGTAAAGTTGGAAGATCTTTGCTAACAATGAATGCGAGGAAACGAAATGAATGTGAGAAGTGCTGGGATGCGCACAGTAGACGTGAAGACGGGTCAAAATAGAATAAAATAGAATAGAATAAAATATGGATGACTAATATTAAACTGAAAACATATTCAGAGCACACAAAAGCGCACTCTTAACTCTTCTAAACACACTAAATGTAAATAAAGACAAATCGACATATTTGATGTTCACCCGGCCCATGCCAGTTATTTGATAAATAGTGATGATTTTTCGATAACTAGAACAGATCAGGCGTTCATAACTTGTTACACTTATATGACAAGCATTGCTCTGCTATCGTAAGGTTAGTTTTCACCAGCAACCATCCCACCTCAAAAATTGTTTAAGATCGAAGTTCCCAAAGACATCGAAAAGAAAAATTTAGTTCTCAAAATTTCCAAAGCAAAAGCAACAGTGGTGAACAAGGACTCATTGCGGGATGCGATATTGTTCAGTTAGACGAAATCCTATTTGTTCACCCGTTGTTTTCACAATATAAGCCATTTCCCATTGCCGAATAAAGAGATCTATGGTTTTTAATGGTTTTTATTTCAAAGAACAAAGTCCATCAAAAGGTGATATGTGTTTTCTCTATGATGAAAACTGCAATTGTTTTCGCACATGAATTTAACGGATATAAGCACTTATGCATTTGAAACAGAGTCGACAAATGATATGGAACAAACCTAGCTTGTTACGCATGACGATTTCAGTACGTTCCACTTCCCACTCATCAGGTTGCGTTGGACCAAGCGAGAAAACACATGGTGGACAATCCTTTTTAGGCGCAGGAAACATAAGACTACCTTAACGGACGCTTTAAGAACAATTTAAAGCAAAAGATGAAACAGCAAGCAAAAAAATGAAACCTTACAAATCAAGCCATCTGCCTGTACGCTGTGATGATGAATCAGTTCACCTAATGTCTTGAATTTAGCATCTTGCGTAATATACAGCTGTAATAGATGCCATTTTCCACCAAAACTTCATGAAAACGTAGAGATAAAAGCATAAAAGATAAATCTCTTGGCGTTGATCAATCACTTAGGAATACTCCATGCATTCGAATTCATTAAGTATCGTTGGAGGTGATTGTATGCATATTTTATTTTTACAATAACTCGCGGTGGCATAGCGATGTATCGAGCCAGCGGTGCTATCATCCCAGACAAATCTGGTACCAATTTGCCGACCCCGGAGGGATGGAAGTCTTGGTGGGCCAGGTGCGCGGGGATTGATTTCATATGTATTACACGGAGCCTCTGACCATTGCTCCACACGCGCCCATACAACGTACAGCTACGTCCGCAAAAAAACTTCCAATCTTCCGTAAGAAATATAAACTCTTTCATTCACTGCTAATGAAAACAAACTATTAAATATGCCGAAAAAACTCACCCTATCATTGGCATCGAAATTTATTCTGTAATGATAGACTCGACCATCGTTTCTGACTGATATAGAGTACTGTCCGACACTAGTTTCCGATTCACGAACTAGGAACGACCCGTTTATTCCGCAACCCAATATGTACTCAGACTCACTACGTGACACTTTTCCATGATACCTGAATAAAGTCGAGTGAAAAGAACGCAATTTCCATTTTTTCCCAACTTCCTAATTAATTTTCTAATTAAAAAAAGAAAATTTTCTAACATTTCAGTGCGTATTATTTTGATGCAAATCTGTAGTCATGGAAATTCAGTAGAGATAGAACATTAGCATAAAATTTTTGCAGAGTTCTCCAACTACTCCTTCGCTCCTCAATTTCCGCAAACAACTGCATTATAAAGAAAAAAACGGGAAAATAACGTACGAACAAGCTATACATGAAAGCTGCCAATGAAGCTCGCTAAGAAAAAATTTCGTACGGATTACATAAAATCTATGCCTAACACTCATAAAATGAACAGTCACTAAGCAGAAAGGCTCAGTGGTCGGCAACAGTAAGTTATAGGGGGTTAAAGGCAAAACAAACGCGACCTTGTACCTTCCATGAGAATTAGGTTGATTCAGAGGATGGAACCCATGATTCTCCATCCCAGATTGACATATATTTTCTGTATGTAAGAGTATTCACGTACGCGAGGTTTAAATACGATGGAACATACGCAGATTACATCCTGAATGTCAATGCAGGCAAAAAGCTGCGGTTAATTGAATGGGAAATATATGGAAAGTGGTTATCGCCCGCAACAAAAACCTTATCTAAGGGGTAATGTGACAGGCTATCAACGGGTACTAAATGAAAAAAAAGAAGCAAAAATTATGGACCTTATTTCCCATGATTGGACTCTGAAAGAAACCCCGAAAGAATCGCTCTTGTTAAGAAGAGTGGAGGGATGCAGTCTGTTAAAAAGTTAGGACCACTGCAAATTGCCTAAATCTGCAATCACTGCAGTAAAAATCTGTACTAGAAATACATCTGAACAATTCACTGAGTGCCTGATTAGGCAGGCTAGGCATGCTAAGACCGATGTCATTGGTCGGACGAGATGAAAATCATGGCTGAGATACGAAAACTTTTGTGATCATCGAGTAGTATAAATACTCAGAATATTGGATACTTGGTCGGTAGTGCGGCGTCGTTGTTAAACTCCGTTAAACTCGTTAACACAGTTACCATCTTCTTTGAGCAATATTTTTCTAGCTAATTTTCTTCTCAAGAGATTCCATAAATATCCGTAAAGAATATGAACGAACCATCTAACATTTTAAGGATATTGCTAAAAGGCCACTTTTTAAAGCCGCCAAGAAACCAGTGTCACCAGAAATGCTCCAGCTGATACGTCAACTTGGAATCTCACAAACCGCAGGTAATGATCGAGTTACTCCCGGCCTTGTAAGTTTCTGCTAAGAAAGGAGATAAAATATTAAGTAGAAAAGAGTCAAAATATTGCCTAAAGTAGTGGAGCTTGGAAACAGAATCATTGACGAATCCCAGAATTACACTGAATAGAAGAATTTTTAAAAACCATAAGGAGTTGTCATTGAATCCAGGACGGCAATAGAGAAAATCATCCACGACTTTTATCACAACATCTTCAACAGTCACATGAACTCTCTTCGTGTGATGTCAGCGAGAAAGGATATGTAGTAAGGGGTTCAATAAAATGCTGCTACCTCGCCAAAATAATTGGGCGCAAATCTCGATAAGCCGAGGCGGAATCTGGAATGGGGTGACACGGAAGTGCTAGTCGAAGGCCAGTATCTACGCCTTGTTCACCTTGGTGATGACAATATCTTCATAAGACCAAAAATCAGCCATATCCAGCGCAAGGGGAAATATTGGTCTTTAGTTGGATTCTAATAACGATCTCCATGAGGAATGGATTCTTATTTGATGCTGATGTTCATGCTGAGAAAGAACACTTCCCAATTCTCTAGGTTTATTTGGGAAACCTACTAACGAACGTTCAGCATTACTGAACAGATCTTATGTAGCATATTACGCAAACCAGAGTAAGAATTTTGGAATTACATCAACCATCAAGAAATAGGGAATCAGTCACACATGGCGAGAAATAGAAAATGAGATTGACCAGGCATCTGCTTCGTCATGACGATAACCAGGTAGACAAGGGGCGTTAATGAACTGTTTCCATAGGATATCGAACACAGTGTAAGAAGAATATTTTTAAGTGAAGGCCTCGGAAGAAAAATATGATCGTCTTCGAGTGCGAATATCGGGCAGAACCTATTGAGTAACCCTTGTACGCGACAGAGACAAACAAAAAGTATTGGAGCTCGTTCTAGTTATTCAACGAAAAAGGAAGAACAGTTAATAAAAGTGATGACATAAGTTTCCATAAAATCGTTAAGAAAGTGCACACGAAAACCTTAAATTGCGCTGGGATTTCAACGCTTTCTCAAAGCAGATAAACCGCACGTGTTCCAATCAAACTATAGAAATTTGACGTTTACCGTACAGTGTTAAAATAACTTCGCAGCTATATTCAATGTCTGCCAGATTTGCCTAACCAGCCAAGGCCACGCAATCAGTTGTCATTTAAATAATAATTTCTTATGAATTATAAGTTATGAATAAATAAATGAAAAACAGAAAGGTTAAAAACCAACCAGCTATGTCTGCTAAGAGAGTTAACTGGAGCAATGTAACTGCTCGGAACCCAACCAATTTGCCCAATTCGTTTCTGACTGGCCAGATCTGATCGATGAGTGGCTGAGAGCCGTGCTTCACACCATTCACCAGCTTTATTATAGCCAATCACTCGCACCTTAACGTATGCCTTGAGCACTAAAATCGATTGATGATAAAATCACTGAACTCGAAAACCATCTACGATGGAACTTCACCAAATTTAGAAATTATCGGAAGTTAAGCTACTAGTCAAGAAAGTTTATTATTCGTTCTGGCATAAGGCTGCGATTTAAAACAGAGTAAAATTATTCCACTAAAAATTTACGACAGCCATTGAAAAAGACACGATAGATCTGACTATGATTCCTTTCAACTCGGAAATGTAGTAGAAAATCAATGTGCAAACTTTGAGATATAACTATACCAAATCTCCTTTTCGTATAGAGAGCTGTTCCTCTCCAATTCCACGAAAGTCATAAAGAGCAATAAAAAGTGGTGATGTAGCATCGTCAACTCCCCCTCCCAACGTCGTCGAAAGCAGATCTTCACTGAAATAAATATGAAAAATTCACTAGTTTTCTTTTTCTTCCCTTTCAAGACCACATCTAGAGCTTGAGCTGTTCCAAAAAAAAAGCAGCTCATGGATTTAGATTGATGCACGAACATTGCAGGCATATTGAAGTTCTTAGAGTCAAAAAGAAAAGAGAATGATTTAAGGTAGGAACTTCATAAAATTTTTGAGGGTTGACAAATAAACTACAGACCCCTTAAAGTCCAGCTTTACACTGTCCCCGCAGATTTTCAATGGTTGTCGAAAAAAAACCATAAACGATATCGAGTCCAACCCGCTGGCGAACAGATCCCAGGTGTAAATGCCAATACACAAAAAATACCCTCTTAAGAAAATGTTCAGGATATTTGAAAGACGGGTACTGGAATGTAAATGAACCAAAACCAGGCTGATTTAAGGTTATTTAGGACAACAACTAATGCTGTTTGTTAGTGGATCCGACCTACTTTTCGCTACGGTTTTAGTCAACAAAGAAAAAAAAAGCTGTAAAGATGGCTCTAACTAATTTGGAGCAAGCATTACTTAAAACTATTCTACTTGAACATTTTGGAAAATTAACAAAAATACGTTAATTAGACTACACTGAGCAAAAAAAACAAGCACTCAGCTTTAAATTCCACGTAATATGTAGTATCATTCTTGGTTTGAATGCTTGAACTAATCTCCTTTAATTCGTCAAGTTTAGTCTTGAGACAGAAAAAAATTAAGTTCTTAATCCGTTTATATGAAATGTCCCATCACCCTGAAATGTCTACTGCCTAAACAAAACGATAGAAAACAGTACTAAGTTGACTTAAACCTAACCGCAGATGCAGTTTAGCACTAACGTCGACATAACAGCTGTTTGGGTGAACTGGTACGATTAGTCAAAACCAACCATTTATGAAAAGTGAAGATGAAACTCAGTTTTTTCTCAAAGATATGACAATCTGAGTTCATCAACAAAGAAATAAAAAACTGGTACGCTTATTGAACATATGAGGAGAAAAGTTTCAATTCCGAGTTAGTTTGCAGAATTATACTGAATTATGAAGTCATAGTAGAAACATAAAGCAGGTCAAATCTTAAAAAAAAAAGGGCTAAAAAACGCTAAAAAAAGGAAAAGAGCAGAAAAAAGTTCTGAAGACAACAGAGGAATTAGGATGAAAGGTATGACAAGACTGACTAACCGACTGCTCCATGACGAGCTCTCTTGTGGATGATGGAGTGCGCGGAAGCTGTCCACCGAAGACGGCCGCCTCTCCATGTCGCCGGCGCCTGCGAGTCGGTTCGAGAACGCCACCACTGACTCAGCCCACTCGCTCGAGTCTGCACATCCTGAAATATCCGGAACAGAATGATGAGCAGACTATGCTAAATCTGCATGCAATATTCCACCTATACACTCTACTCTCACTTAGTCTCTTACATATGATCGTCTCTACTAAATCGCTCTCCCACCTGATTTCATATAATTAAAAGGATAATAAAGGATAAAGCTTTCGACGTTGATCAATCCCTTAACAGCACAGAACGATATTAGCGATAACAAGACATTGCAATAGTAAATACCGTGCAAAACACAGTAAGCAGGTTACCACTAGGTGCATCTATTTTAAGTACATTTATTGTTTAGAATATTTAAATGAATGGATAAAAGTTAAAGCATGTAACGATGACCAACCTTAGAGGGATACACAGTGTACTTGACTTCATTAAGCAAATTAATTCTATAGACATGATTAAATGCTAGAGGTAACATCCAAGTAGTTAAGAACATTGATAGTCGAGATTCAAATAAAGTGGGTATTTCGAATTATTGACTAGAATGTTTCAATAAAGAATAAAGCTCACGGCGTTAATCAATCCCTAAATCATGCACCATGCAATTGGGTCCATTAAGCACCGTCTGGAGGTGATTTAATGCATGTCTGGCCTTTACAATGACTTGTGGTGCTCTACCGATGTGTCGAGCCCGTGCATTATGCTCCCAGACAAGTCTGGTACCAATTTACCGAGTCCGGAGGGACAGAAGGCTTGGGGGCTTCGGGCGCTGGGATCGATCCCATGCGTTTGCAGGACGTCTCTGACCAATGCCGCACATGGGCCTTCTCGTATGATTACAACAGACAATTTAGATGTAATCAACGAAAATAACAACTAAAATCCAACAGACATCGAAGCGATGTTGTGTCATTTACACTACAGAATTTAAGTCGTGAAAAAAAGCTGCGAAGTTATGTGGATGATATAGAAAGTAGTTATCCATGGAAGAATCGAACTAAAGCTTGTATAAACGGTGAAAGTCATCAGCGCATGCGATGTGTTCAATCTGTTCATAAAGGGTCATAAAAAGTGAGTACGCAGTTCAATGGTGAAGATATAGCATCGACAGAGGGACAGTAACGGCGGAAGAGCTTCGTGTCACCAAAAATTTGCCACAATGGCTAGTAATATTTCCCTCTTCTACATTAAATAAACGATGAGGATTTGGAATAAAAATCTAGAACTCTTGGTGATTTGAGCTCTGGATGTACACTTGCCGAATTTATAGGAGTAGCAGTAGGTGTATAATACGAGCGACATGCGTCTTTCTACTTACCATTGTTCGATTCATAGGTCGAACTTTCAGTACACGAGAAAGAATTCGAAAACCCTTGCAGAAGGCCTATGTGGGTGCTAGTCATAAACCGAAAAAAGAAAAGAAACAGCAGAAAGGGATGGCTGATCGATGTTCTGGATAACTATCGGGATGCGTGCTGTTCTTCAGTGCAAGTAAGGAAGAAAATGAAGTCAGATTGTGGAAAATCTAGAGGTTAGATGACATAGAACATTTAACAAAACAAACAATTTACAATGACTTAGAAGAAAGATTTGAAAGTAGTACACAGACTAATAGCGGTCGGCGAAGCATTAGGGCGAACAAGTAACGAGCACAAATGGCTGAGACGAATGTAACCGAAATCGATGAGGAACGGGACGTGAAACTAGTACCACAAGCCGATGCAAATGTGCGATCGTTCGTTCCATGGGAGACGACAATCGTCTCGCCCGGAAACTGCGCTGGTGACCAACTTCGAAGAAAACAAGAATAATCACCCTCCTACATCCAGAAACAATATGCTAAATTCAGAAAAAACTCGTCGAAAACACAGGAAAATACGCAGAGAAAAGGTGCACTTCAGCAACGATATATTCGGGTCCAGTGCTTCAATCATTTCCACCTCTACTACAAAACGCCCATTTCACTTTTCGCGAGCAACGGGTTTCGGATGTGAGACAGAGAGAAACAGAAAGAAGCAGTAGAGTTTTTAGTAAGGAATATAACATTCTAACAACGAACATAATGAACAGCTGTGGACCACCAACTCGGATCATCGGCTCTGATGAAGACGAAGACATTGAAACGGTAGCCGAAATAAACATATTTATCAATCTCGTGTAAGCGCAACAATTTAAACGCACGTTGATAAAATTCTAATTTCCATCATGTATTCAACGTTTGAAAAAGCATCACTTATCAAATAATCGTGTATATTTAGAAATGGCGTGTGGTCAGATAAAGTGAGGGAGAAGCTCTAAACAGGGTACCGTTTCGTTTGTCTACCCACTACTCCTGCGCAAGTATTTGCACAACAAAGAAAGAGCTACCCGTAATCTTCCCCTCCTTGAACTCTTCTCCATTTATCTAGTACAATATTCCAGATTAGGAATACATAGAAAGAACCCACGATGATAGGGAACATTACGAACGACGAGATCACATTTGGAGAGAGATGAGTGAATTTAATCGTTAAAAACCCAAAGAGAAAACTCTGAGAATGGAGTGTTGGAAGCGCGTGATTAAAGCAACAGATAACCACGATTACCAAAGGATTGCTCAATAGACGATGGAATGTAGCAGCTCAAACCTCAACACAACACTAAAAATCGAGACATGTGAGTTTCATGGAGGTGGATGATCCCAAGTATGAGCGATGGAGTGATGAAGCAATTTAAAAAAAGAGAAATATCGCTTCTCTTTCTAAAGTGGTTCAAAGACCCATTAAAGATGATAGTTGTGGATATCAGCAAAAGTTGTAGGTCGGAATCGTGTTCGAGTGTGGCTTGTGTTCGGGTGGTAATCAATGTAATGTTGACTTTAACAATGAAGTGAAGGGTGAACGATTATGATGAACACAAATTGAATACTCGATTGACCTAACCCATCGCGTTACCCACTAATTAGTATAGCGAATGGAATCGTAGTCCAGCGCCAGGTTTACAATGGATCGAAACTGGATGAGCTCTGACAAGACGGCAATCCTAGAATAAACCTAGACTTCCGAACTGGTGATACTCGAAAGTTCCCTACAGAACTTTAATACAATATGGGCATCAAGAAAAACCTAATTTTAATTTCACTTTTGCAAGTACACTATATTGGATACTCAAACATTTATAGAAAATTCAATCCTAATCACAGTTCCTCAATCCCGTCAGCGATCCCTTGGGTGCAATGCGCGGACACAAAACCATACACTCGGTCAGAATGACAGAAAACCAGCCAATCAAGGCATATTTTACGTACACAATGATTTTCCACCGATATATAAAGTTCCTTGTCATCACAGTCCGGCACCTATCTTTTAATCATGGAATGAGGAAAAGCTTGGATTTCCCCGGAACCGAGCTCAATACCATGTATGTATTTCAGGGCTCCATTAGTCACTGCTATATATAGAGCCATGTAAGACGTAGACCAGAGAAAATTCAGAAAAAAGCCAAATGAAAGACAGCAGAAATTCAAAATGCTATCTAAAACTGTACTAAGTATTTTGTAATAGAAGCATCTTATGCTCAATGGATGAAAATTATTTCAGAACGTTTCTACGAGTACCGAAGAAAGTGGAACAGAGATACCTGACATAACCTGATGCTAGAAACGTTGAAGATCTACAAGTAGAATTTGGTGAGTAAATCATATGCCTTTTCTA